TGGTGCAAGAGGTCCTGCTGCTACTGGAGATACTGAGGGTTCTGGAGCCATGGGTCCCGGAGGTGCTCGTACTGGAGGTACTAGAGCTGCTGGGCCTTGTGGTGCTGCTGGAGCTGGAGCTGCTGGAGGTGCTGGAGCTGGCGGTGCTGCTGGGGCAGGTGCTGCTGGAGGTACTAGAGCTGGAGCTATTGGCACTGCTGGGGCTTCTGGTGGTCCTCCTGGAGCTGGAGCTGCTGGACGTGATGGAGCTGGCGGTGCTGCTAGAGCCGGTGCTCCTATGGGTGCTGGAGTTGGCGCTTCTGGGGCTGCTGTAGGTGCTGCTGGAGCTCGTGGTGCTGCTGGAGTTGGGGCTGCCACTGGGGTAGCTAGTTCTGTCCCTACAGGTTCGCGGCCATGGCCGTACTACGTTCCGCTCCTTCAGCAGGTTCTCGGTCTTCCGCCTTCTATTGGTCCTGCTCCTTCCTTAGAGTGTCCACCGCCTGTCCAGTCGCAGTCCAAGTTAAAGCCTGCCTCCCCCTTGCCTGCCCCTTCTCCTTACACTAGTCCGACCGGGAGCTTGCTGAGCGTCGTGAGCCTGTGTCTCGTCCTGCGTCGCCTTTTCGTGCTGCTAGCACTCGTCGTCGTGGTTCGCGTCAGCGTCCTCCTCCTCTCCCTAGCACGCACCAGATGGCTCTGCGCCCTTCCATTGCTCCACAGCGTGTCCCTCTGCCGTCTCCTCCTTCGTCCTCTCTTCCTGCCCTTTCTAACCCGGAGTCTGCCTCCCTTCGTGCTGCTAGTCCTAATGTCACGCGTCTACTGGCCACTGCTGTCAATGACCCTTCCTTTGAGTCCACTGCTGCGTCTTCCTTAGTTGCTCAGCTTGTCGACTTTGCTGCTCACTGTCGTCTCGACTACGCCACTAGTCTTGTTACTTAGTCTGAGTCTGTCTGTCCTCCGTCCGTCGGGGGGTGAGTGTGCTCTTGGCACAGACGTCCTTGAGGACAGGCAGGAGGACTTTGAGTGCTTTGCAGCCGCTGCACCTCATCTCGTGTCCATGTTGATTGCACCTGAGGGAGACCCGGATGCACCAGACATCCCGACCCCGCGCTCTTACGCAGAGGCGATCGAGGGTCCCTACTCCTCTCAGTGGCAGTCAGCCATGGACGTAGAGATGGCATCATAGAAGTCCACAGGCACTTACATCGACGAGGTTCCCCCTCCTGGGGCGAACATGGTCAGTGGCATGTGGATTTTCAGGATGAAGCGGCCGCCGGATTCTCCGCCTGTCTTCAAGGCGCGTTACGTTGCTTGAGGCTTCAGTCAGCGACAGGGAGTTGACTTCTTCCAGACCTTCTCCCCGACCCTGAAGATGACCACTCTTCGGGTTCTGCTGCACGTCGCTGCTCAGCGTGACTACGAGCTTCACTCTCTTGACTTCAGCACAGCCTTCTTGCAGGGCAGCCTGCACGAGAAGATCTGGCTGCGCCGCCCACAAGGCTTCACTTGGTCGTTTCCTCCTGGTACCCAGTGGAGCCTCCGGCGGCCAGTCTACGGTCTCCGCCAGGCGCCCCGTGAGTGGCACGACACACTGAGGACTACGCTTGCGGCTCTTGGGTTTGCTCCTTCTACTGCTGACCCGTCGTTGTTTCTCCGCACCAACACTACTCTGCCGCCGTTCTACATCCTCGTGTACGTCTTGCGGGCCCCCGAAACGCCACAACGAGGCGACGCTCGGGGCCGGCGCGCAGGCCCCCAAGACGCCACGACGAGAGAGGAACCCGCCGCGCGCTTCGGGGCGCACGGCGGGCAGAAAACCGCCACGCGCCCCGAGCGCGTGGCGAGAAGAAAAATAGGAGGTCGCGCGCCACGGGGCGCGCGACACACAGTAGGGCAGCGGAAGCAAGTGGGCCCACAGGCCAGGAGCGTTAAGCTCTGATAACATGTTAAATTTCTATAGCGTAGTAGGCTTAGAAGCCATAGTTTAGGTGCCTTAGTAGCTTAGGTTTTAGGGTGTAAGGAAAATGTCGAGAAATTTGAAAGGAGAGAATGTGATTCACTAGCAAGAGTTGGGATACAAGTACAACACCCTAAATTGGGTTGTACTCATTACAGAGTACCCCACTGCAGGCTAGACAGCAAATACATTCTGACATAGAAAACCCTAATTTGGGTTTTACTCACCATAGAGTACCCCACTGCAGACTAGACAATAACACATTCTGACGCATCCCTATAGGCAAAGTGGGGTATAATCAGCACAGCAAGCAGTTGCATAAGAGTTCACAAGCACAAGCAAAGCTAGAGGCAGTCATAGAGGGCAAGTGAGGAGGAGGAGGGACTTGAGAGGAGTGAAGATAGGAGGCGACGGGTGAAGCCGCAGACACACGGGCAACAGGAGCGCGCACACAGTGGCTACCGGAGCAAGGGTGGTTTGCAAGGGCTTCGGAAGCAGCAAGTGCCAACGCTTCAATCTGAAGATTCCAGCACTTGCATATCTTTGCAATGTGGTAAGATGGAAGCCCAACTTGTTTGCCTGTTGACGTAATATACGAACTCATGCAGTAGCTGTTTTTTTTCTTGGTTCCTTTAATGTGATTTGCAGATCGAGTTCCCGATGCATTCTTATAAGGGCAAGGGAACGCCGTCTCTGGACACATGCGAGACCACGAACCGCAATGTAGCTCAGGACAAGATTGCTGTGGTTGTTGCATGGCTGAAGGATGCTCTGCAGCGCGAACCATCAGTGTACTCCCCAGAGCACCCTCTTGGGTTTGTGCTTGGCACGGGGGCTGTGAGGATTCTATTGTTGAAATAGCAGGCGAAAATGAGAAACATGAAAGAGGGATTTTCACTAGCATATAGTTGAGTACATATTGCAAACCCTAATTCGGGTTGTACTTGCTATAGAGTACCCCACTGCACGCTACACAAACATCACATTCTGACACACCCCCATAGTCAAAGTGGGGTACAATCAACACAACAAGCAGGCAGAGCAGTAGTTCACAATTATAAGCAGCGCTAGAGGCTATCACAGAGAGCAAGTGAGGAGGAGGAGAAACTGTGGGGGCGAGAAGATGCGAGACGACGGCTGAAGCTGCAGACACACGGGCAACACAAGTGCGCAGCACTGTCACTACCAGGCTAAACCCGGACTACACGGCAACAGGCGCTGTTGGCTCGCTGTGCTCCCACGAGTGCTCACACTGTGGCTACCGGGCATAGAGCCTCGAACTACTCAGGCCACAGAGGGTCGTGGCTCTCTGGACTACCAGGAGTGCTCACAATGTGGCTACCGGGCGCAGAGCCCTAGACTATTTAGGCCACAGGGGGTCGTGGCTCTCTGGACTTCAGGCGCTGCAGACGACAAGTCGGCTACCTCCGGTCAACCTCCCCCAACTGCCCCACACCCCTTTCACACACTCCCTGCTGAACCACTAGCACCGCTCACACGCCACCCCCCTCGTACCACTCCGGCGGCTCCAGCACATCCACCCCCCTCAGCGGCAGCTGCAGCAGTCGGAGACGGAGGAGGAGGAGGAGCAGGGGACGGCTCACACACACGGCACCCCAATACTCTCCACCCCCAAACCCTAACACAGGAACGCGGGCAGCAGCGGGGGTGGGGCGCGGTCAGAAGCTCGGGGAACGGCGTGCGGCACAGGGGAAGACGGTACGGGCCGCTCACGGACCTAGCGCAGGCCGAACGAACCGCGCGCGGGCCTGGCGCAGGCCGTACGAGCCGCGCGAGGGCCTGGCGCAGGCCGTACGGGCCGCGCGCGGGCCTGGCGCAGGCCGTACGGGCCGCGCGCAGGCTGTACGGGCCGCGCGCGGGCCTGGCGCAGGCCGCGCGGGCCGCTACGGGCGACGGGGGGCGACGCGCGGGTCCCCGGGGGCGATGCGACGGGCGACGGAGGGCGACACGCGGATCGACGGGGCAGAAAACCGCCGCGCGCCCCGAGCGCGCAGCGGGAAGAAAAAACGCTGCGCGCTCCGAGCGCACGGCAGGAAGAAAACGGCGCGCACCCGGGGCGCGCTAGAGGTAGTAGAGCAGCGGAAGCATCGGGTGGGGCCCACTCACATGATCGACCGATGAGGGTCGACCTGCTCTGATAGCATGTTGAAATAGCAGGCGAAAACGAGAAACACGAAAGATGGATTTTCACTAGCATGCAGTTGAGTACATATAGCAAACCCTAATTCGGGCTGTACTCGCTATAGAGTACCACACTGCAGGTTACACAAACATCACATTCTGACCTCTATTTTCCAAAAGTTCTTGATTTGTAGGTTAGGATGTAATGTAGGTCTTGTAGGGTTGTAGTGTCTATCTGTTATTAATGAATCTTCTGCTAACCTCACTATAACAAGGATGTGAAGTGTATCGTTTTTAATAATGTTTTTGTGCGATAGATGTTTTCTCTTATAAGAGCGTAACAAAATTCATTTGTATTTTTTTCCTGTAATCAATCGCCTATACATGAGTGTAACCCTTCGAGTTACTTGGTTATTGGACGACAGAATACTACACGTTATTAACTGTCTCGTTATCTCCCAAAATACTTGCTCCTGGATATACTAGAGGTTACACTTTGTTACACGGTGACGAAGTTACTGCCAGTGTTACGACGCGAGTTGCAAACTCGGGATACTGAAAGGTTTCGCGATCGTAAACTGCGGTAAACTTCCGCAATCCTCCGTTCACCCCCCTTCATCCCCCCACCCTTTACTGGAGTCCTCGTAAATGGAACACCCCCCGAACCCTGATTACTTTCCCCGTGAGAAACCAACGTGAACAGGCAGATGTGGCCATTCGCACACATTCAAGGCAGGTGCTCGCGGTGAACAGTGCTAGGACAGTAGGTCGTCTACGAAGCTCTACGAAGCTCTACGAAGCGCCTGGTTTGGGACACACAATGGGCTGAACGCCATTCCATTTACGGGGCGCAACACGAACGACCATGCACAACCTTAAAACAAGAGCTGATAACCCTAAACGGCCGAAAACATAGCGCTCTGTGATGGATTTGGCGGGGTTCGGCCTGGAGCGAGTGGCGAGCCTGGAGGAGGGCAGCGACGCCGAGGACTGGGAGGAGCCCGCCCGCCACGACGCCAACGGCGCCACGGAGGCGACCGGCAACGACTCCGCTGAAGCCGCGTCTCCGGCCGCCACGGACCGCCGCGATTCTCCCAGTCGCGACGACTCGCAGTCGCAATCGCCGTCGCGGTCGTCGCGATCGTCGTCGTCGCAGTCGTCTAGGTCGTCGGCGTCGTCGCGGTCATCGCACAGCGACGGGGAGAGTGAAGATCGAGGCGCTGGGGACGAGAGGAGGGAAGGCAATGGGGAGACAGAGGAGGAGAAGGAAGAGGGGTATGACGGAGAAGGGATGGGAGGGGATGTGAAGGGCAGCGGTGGCGAGGAGGCGACGGGAGGAGACCCGCGGGGTGATGGCGGCAAGGAGGGGGGAATGGCGGATGGGGGGACGGGGCTGGGCGTGAACCTGGACTTTGATGAGGACGACGGGAGTGACTATAACGAGTCCAGTGACGGTGACGGGGCCGGGACGGGGAGTGACAGAAGCGGAGAGGAGTGGAGAGGAAGCGAGGGGGGGGAGGGGGGCGAGGGTGGGGAGCAGGAGCATGCGAGTGGCGTGAAGCGGAAGGAGCGAGGCGCGGGCGAGGCAGCAGAGGGGGATGAGCGGCCGGCGAAGCGGATGGAGGCGGGCGGGGCAGGCGAGGCGGAGGGGCTGCTGGTGCGCGTGGTGGCGGACCACTACAGCCGGCGCGACAACCAGCAGCGGCACGAGCGCGAGGCGAGTCCCATCATCCACCTGAAGAAGCTCAACAACTGGATCAAGTCCGTGCTCATCCGCATGCACACCCACCCCGCCCGTGGCGCGCGCGTGCTGGACCTGGCGTGCGGCAAGGGCGGCGACCTGACCAAGTGGGCGCGCGTCAACGTGGGCTTCTACCTGGGCGTGGACGTGGCGGAGGGCTCCGTGCACGACGCCATGGCGCGCTACAACGGTGACTCGCACCGCGGCCTCGCCGGGGGGGAGGGGGGGGACGGAGACAGACGGCAGATGCGCTTCCCGGCGAAGCTGGCGTGTGCGGACTGCTTCGGCGTGGCGTTGGACCGCGAGTTGCTGCCGTGGGCGCCCTTTGACATCTGCTCCACGCAGTTCGCGCTGCACTACTCCTTCGAGACCGAGCAGCGCGCTCGCTGCGGGCTGCGCAACATCGCAGCGCTGCTGCGGCCGGGCGGCATGTTCATCGGCACCATCCCCGATGCCAACGTGCTCGTGCAGAAGCTGCGTGCCTCGCCGAACCTCAGGTTCGGCAACTCAGTCTACTCTATAGAATTCGCCCCGGAGTTCACCTCGAAGAAGTTCCCCTCGGCACGGCCATACGGCATCCGGTACGAGTTCCGGCTGGAGGACGCGGTGGACTGCCCCGAGTGGCTCGTGCCGTTCGCCTTCCTGCAGCGCCTGGCGGGCGAGTACGGGCTGCAGGTGGTCCACCACGCCAACTTCCACACCTTCATCAAGACGCACGCCGCCGTCGAGCCGCACGCGTCACTGCTGCGGCGCATCGTGGGCGAGCGGTGGTGCGAGGAGATGACGGCGGACGAGTGGGACGCGGCGTACCTCTACTGCGTCTTCGTCTTTCGCAAGGAGGGCACTGCTGGGGCTGAGGGGGGTGGGGCTGTAGGGGAGAGGAGGGAGGAGGTAATTAGGCGAATGGAAAGTGATGATATTCTGATTCTCTAATACTTCTACCGTAATACACATTTCCGTGCTGATGCAAAGTAAGGAAGAGGTGATGCAACGTAAGAAGTTTCTAGCATGTCAGAAGTTTTTATATCAGGAAATCCACTATATTGTCGTCTGGAATGTCACATAAAACATGTGAGCTGAGACGAACTTCCAGAGTGTCTAATGTCGGGAACACCTGCCATCCAAATTCTCTTGATACATGTGCTGTGCTTCTGCCCCTCGCTAATCGTCCCTCCTAGTACCGCCGGGTGTCTGCGTCACTCACGCCACACGCGCCCCCATGGACGCTTCTCCCCTCCGTTCTCGCGACCGCGTCCCTCGCGCGTTCTGTCTTCGTCTTGCCGCTCCGCTGCTCCTCCTCCTCCTCCTCCTCCTCCTCCTCCTCCTCCTCCTCCTCCTCCTCCCTGCGCTCGCGTGCCTTAGCCCTCCTCCCCCACTCACCTTACTCCTTTCCTCCCTGTCCCTCGCCCTCCGCCCTCTTTCCGCTTGCTTCTCCTCTCCCCTTCCCCCGCCCCCGCCGCTGCTTCCCATCCCCACGGCGCGCCAGCTGACACGTCAGCGTGCTGAGCTGGCGGCGTTCTTCCACGTGGGCATGAACACGTTCACGGACCGCGAGTGGGGCACAGGCCGCGAGGACCCGCGGCTGTTCGACCCGGCGGCGCTCAACGCGACGCAGTGGGTGGACACCGTCAAGGCCGCCGGCTTCCAGGTGCGCGCAACGCAACGCGCCGGGCCTTGAGGTGCGCGTCGCGCTCTCGTAATCGTGCGCGCTGGGAGCGGATTGCGTTCTCGCGGTGGGGGCGGCCGTGTGCCGCAGGTGATGGCGCGAGGGGGGAGCACGCGAGGGGGGAGCGCGCGAGGGGGGAGCACGCGAGGGGGGAGCGCGCGAGGGGGGAGCGCGCTAGGGGGGAGCGCGCAAGGGGGGAGAGCGCTATAGTGGGGGTAGTGCGCAAGGGGGGAGCGCGCGAGGGGGCACGCGATGGGAAGCACGCGCGGTGGAGGGGGGTGTTTGTGAGTAGCTTTCGCTGGTGATGTGTGGGCGGTGGGCACGCGGCAGGGGACGCGGGCGTGGAGGGGACTCGCCCAACGGCAGGCGCCGTGGTGCTGTTGGTGCCGGGCAGGTGGTTCAAACAAACAGCTGCCCCACCTCTTGTCTGTATCCCACTCCTGCCAGTCTCTAGTTATCCCAACCCACACATACCCACAACCCCCACACCTCTTGTGCGCACACCCAAGGTTCAGAAGCCCCTCCCGGCCTTCACCGTTTCTGCGCTTCTCCTCGACCGTCTCACCTTTCTCTCCCCTCCCACCCCTCTCGCCCCACTCGCCCTTCGCCCCGCACGCCACGCGTCCAGCTGGTGGTGCTGACGGCCAAGCACCACGACGGCTTCTGCCTCTGGCCCTCCGCGCTCACCAACCACTCCGTGCGCCGCTCGCCCTGGAAGGCCGGCCGGGGGGACGTCGTCGCTGACGTGGCGGCGGCGGCGCGGGCGGCGGGCGTGGGGTTGGGGTTATACCTGTCGCCGTGGGACCGCAACGCGCGGGCGTATGAGGAGGGCGCTGCGGCGTACAACGCCTTGTATGAGGGGCAGCTGCGCGAGCTGCTCACCCGGTCAGTGAGCGGGGATGGGGATGGGGGATGCTTATGCGGTGAGGGGGGGGAATGGTGGGGGTTGTGGGGGGGATGGGGAGCAGCATGATGCTTGGCAATGGGTTTGGTAGTATGAGCGTAGGCAGAAGCGTGTGAACATGAAGACAGTGGTGAGGGCAGTGGTGAAGACAGTGGTGAGGGCAGTGGTGAGGGCAGTGGTGAGGGCAGTGGTGAAGACAGTGGTGAGGGCAGTGGTGAGGGCAGTGGTGAGGGCAGTGGTGGAAACTTCCTGTTCACCCCTTCACGTCCTCACTGCTGCCACTAACAACTCCTCTTCCCCTGTCCTGCTCCACCTCTCTCTCTGCTCCCTGCCTCCCTGTGGCATTTTCTCTCCATTCCTGCTTGTCACCTGCTCCGCTTTTCTCACTTGCTCCCACTCTTTTTCTCTTTCTTTCTTGTGACAACAAACCTTCCAACATACGGTTTTCTTCTCTCATGGTCCGCATCACCCTCCCATACTCCCTCTTCCCCACCACCAGCGCCACTCCACTCACTCCCGTGGTGAGGGTGCGATGCAGCACGCTCATAGGAGGAGCAGCTTGACCCCAAGCCACACCCAAGCCACGTGTGCCGCCCTCCCCTGCCGTCCCGCCTGCGCCCTGCCTTGCAGCTACGGGCCTGTGGCGGAGGTGTGGCTGGACGGCGCCAAGGGGGACCGCCGCCCCATGACCTACCACACTGCCACGTGGCAGGCTCTCATTCGGCAGCTGCAGCCGGCAGCGGCGGTGTTTTCAGCGCAGGGCCCCGACATGCGATGGGCGGGCAACGAGCGCGGCGAGGCGGGCGAGCCGTGCTGGGCCATGGTGAACGGCAGCCAGCTCACGCTGGAGGGGTGGGACACGGAGTGAGTGCTGAGAGGGTGACTCGGGTGGCATTTTGGGTGATTGGGGGGTGGTGCATGGTGAAGCGGCATTGCCCTTTTTCTTGGTTTCACAGCCACTCATCTATGCACCCCCATGTGCACCACCGTGGGTTTCCATGCATCCGTTGAGCCATGCATGCCATCCCAACCCCACACCCCTACATCCCACCCTCCTAACCACCCATAACCCATCCGCCACCTGCAGCTACCTGAACCACGGTGACGTGGCGGGCACGGACTGGATGCCAGCGGAGTGTGACGTGTCCATCCGCCCGGGGTGGTTCTGGCACCCGTCAGAGCGCCCCAAGCCCCCCGCCCACCTGCTGGACCTCTACTTCGCCTCAGTGGGGCGCGGGTGCTCGCTGCTGCTCAACGTGCCGCCCAACACCACGGGCCTGCTGCATGGGGAGGACGTGCAGCGTGTGGGGCAGTTGGGCCGCGCGCTCTCAGTGCTGTTCCAGGAGGAGGTCAGCGCCGGTGCTCGCGTGCACGCCAGCACCGTGTATGGCTGTGAGGGGGGATGGAGGCGGAAGGAAGAGGAGAAGAGGGTTTTACCAAGGGAATGGTTTGGGTTGGGGTTATGGGGATGGTGGGGGGGTTGGGGGCGAGGGAGTGGGTGTGAGTACGGGCCTGAGAATGTGCTGAGTGCTGGGGATGGCACCTTTTGGGCGGCCGAGGATGGGGTGCTGTCTGCCACTGTCCAGTTCGACCTCGGGCAGGTGAAAACCTTTCATGTGGTTCGGCTGGAGGAGCCTGTGGCGTACGGGCAGAGAATAAAATCGTTCACAGTGGAGGTGCTCGACCCAGACCCTGCTGGTGCAGCCGCCGCCATTCCAGCTGCCCCTGCGGCCGACGTTGGTGGTGCCGGTGCTGGTGGGTGTGGGCCAGGCGGGTGCAATTCCGGGGATGGTGTGCTGCCGTCCCTACCTGCGCTGCCGGGCCTGGGAGAGCATGCGCTCCACACACTGCATGGCGCCCAGGGGGCGGCACGCAGCATGCTGGGGAGGACAGGGAGTGCTGGGAGGGCGGGGGAGTGGAGGGTGATAGCGAGGGGCAGCACGGTGGGGCGCAAGAGGCTGTTTCGGTTGGAAGCAGTGAGCGCGCGGCATGTGAGGCTCGTCATTCACGATGCCAGGGCTGTCCCGCTGCTCTCCTTCTTTGCGCTCTACAGAAGCGGCGATTTGAGCACCATATGATCTCACGGGCCCTACCAGATCATTGTGCAATACACCAACTCACTGCTGCTGCTGCTGCATCTTCCACGCCAATCCCACATCTCCCCGCTTACCGCTAGCAGTCCCTTATTTGTGCTGTATAGCGGAAAGGAGAATAAAACCATATGCCTGGTTTCTTTTTCAGCATTTATTATGCAGGTCAAGTCAACATATGGTGACGTTTCTGCATGTATATATGGTACTCAAGAAGTAAAAGGAATGAAATGGTGTGACTAGCAAGGGTTGGGATACAAACGCATAGCCCTAAGGACGCGTGTCTTTTGAAATTTGTATGCAAAACTCGAGTTTTTAGTTGAACTGTACACAGTTGAACCTAGGTCGACCTAGGCTCCACAATATCGGCAGCCGTAACCCGAGAGGCTGCTCCTCAACTCACAAGAATCACAAGACACACGAAAGTTCAACTATCGAAGTTCAACTTTCCCGAGTCGCGGCCAAACCACGCTGGTTACCCAGTTTGCCACGTGTTTTTGGCGATGCCGGAACACTCATTTCCGAAGTCGCTCGTGCGCACGATGTGTGCTGCGACATTTGCAATCACCTCGTGTGCTGATATAACCAAGGATCCAGTGGATAGGATAGAATCTGTTAAGTCTCAGAGGAGACGATTAAGTCTCTGTAGTGACCTTGTTGAATAATAATTGAAGGAGAACAAGATGATTGAAAGATAGGAGTACAAGAGAAAAAGTAGAAATCTAGCTAGCCATGTACTCTGAAGGGTACATTTCCTTATTAACTGTATTGCATAGCTACAGTAACCGTGACTATTGCTATCCTCGACAGTTACCATGTTGCAGTGAATTAACTGTCGCGCGGTTACTGGATTGTCAAGGGTCACGACCGTTGACTTCCTCATACGGTTGACCTTCGGGTGACCCTCGACATTCCGCATGCTCTATATGAGCTATTGCGGTACTGGTACAGTGGAACAGCTTCGGGAATGCTTTATACAACCTTTCGGTTATTCCAACAGTCCCCTTCATTCCTGAAGGTGGGCCGCGTGGGATTTCTTGGTGATCCCGCAGAGGTCGGCACATCGTTGGTACTGCTGACGTGGCAGCTTCTTCGTCAAGAAATCAGCTGCCATGTCACCGGTCGGGCAGTACGTCAGCTTGACTTTCCCCTTGTCGATTTCATCCTTCACGAAGAAGTAGCAAAGGGCGATGTGCTTGGTGTGGTTGACGAAGCCGGGCTTGTTCGCGATCTTTATCGCGTTCTGATTGTCGCAGAGTAACGTGAAGTGCCCGTTCATCGTCACTTTCGCCTCTTGCAGGAGCTCCACCAGGTACAGTCCTTCGCGAACAGCTGCGCTAGCTGCGATGAATTCTGCTTCTGTTGACGAGAGAGCAATAAGTTCCTGCTTTTGAGAGTTCCAGGAGATGAGTCCAACAGGTTGGAGTTGAAAAATGAATCCTGTGCGGGAGCGTCTGTTGTCAACATCTCCAGCGTGGTCGGCATCTACGTAGCCATGGAGCTGTAGAGGAACGGTGAGGTTAGCTTCGTAGGTGAGACCGACGTCGGGAGTGGAGATGAAGTACTGTAGTGCTCGGCGTAGATCCAGTAGATTCTCTGAGAAGAAACGAGAATGAATGAACTATGAATGAATTGGGTACAAGTACTAACCCTAATTGGGTTGTACCCCTTATGGGCTACCCCACTATAGCCTACACAATATACATGAGCTATAATGTTCTGACACACCCCCATAGGCAAAGTGGGGGAGAACAAGGGGTCACAAGACCAGTCAAACAAAGCAAAACAAAGCAAGCTCAGGGTGGATCACAAAGTCACCACACATTCCGAACACAAGTTCAAGGCCACAAGGCCAGTTCACATGCAGGAGTACATATGTATAAAAAGGCTAGACAAGCAATAGCAGGTATATATATATGTAACAGTACAAGCAAGGTCAAGAGGTGAGCAAGTGAGGCAAGGTAGGCACAAGACCCAGCTGAGTACAGAAGCGCTGATGGTCACAAGGCGCAAGTGCCTTGGTGAAGATATCAGCAGTGTGAGGATCTAGGATCGAGTTCAGAAAAGAGAATGAGAATTGAGTCGAATTGAATGATCACCTGGGTACAACACGAGGCTATATATAGGCTCGACACAAGGCCCCGTAACCAGGTGTTACGCGAAAGTTCCGCGGGCCGTGTAGCGTCCTGAACGGATCCTTACCGAATTCGGTAGAAGGCAATTCGGTGGCAACCGAAAAGCCAGAATTCGGTGCACGCAACCTAGCTCGGTGCTATAACTATAATAAAATATAGGAAAGCACCTAGCCTAGGAAATCAAGCAATTCATGCATGCATATAATTATCCCATGCTAGAAATAGCATGATAAAGTAAAGGCAAGCAAGCATAGCTGGCATAAGCCGTCGTACTCTCACACGTCCCCCCCTCAAAGCTGGGTGGCGTGAGATACACCCTGCTTGACAAGATAGTCCTTGAGAGCACGGTGTGCGTTGCCCATATCAGCTTCTGCAACCCAACTGTCCTCAGTGGGGTCGTATCCCTTCCAGCGTATCAGGAACTCGAGGGTCTTGCCGCCGCGGCGCCGATGAGAGAGAACGCGCTCGATCTCGTACTCGGGTTCATCCTGCACGAGAACAGGTGGAGGTGGCGGTAGCTGCCGTCCCTTGAACTGTTGGTTGGGGTCCTTGTAGGGTTTCAGTAGCTGCACAGTTTTCCCTGTGGCCGCATGTGATGCCTTGTTGTAAGCGAACTCTAGGGTCGGTAACTGTGTGTCCCAGTGGCTGACGTCGTCCTTGCAAGCTGTGCGCAGTAACTGTTCAACCACTTGATTGAGTCGCTCTGTCTGTCCGTCAGTCTGGGGGTGGTATGCTGAAGACATTGCAAGCTTTGTCCCCAACAGTCCCATGAGCTCCTTCCAGAACTTACTGGTGAATTTTGGGTCTCTGTCTGAGATGAGTGTAGCGGGGATGCCGTGGATGGTGATGATGCGGTCGAAGAAGAGGCGAGCAGTTGCTTCAGCTGTAGCTGTGGCGTTGGTCGGTATGAAGTGACCCATTTTGGAGAACTTATCGATGACTACGAGGATGGAATCGTGCCCCTGTGAGGTCGAAGGAAGTCCGGTGATGAAGTCGAGGCTAACGACCTGCCATGGCTGCTTCGGTACGGGTAGAGGCTGAAATAACCCTGTGTGAGGATCTGGGATCGAGCTCAGAAAAGATGATTCAAATTGAATTGAATGATCACCTGGGTACAACACGAGGCTATATATAGGCTCGACACAAGGCCCCGTAACCAGGTGTTACGCGAAGGTTCCGCGGGTCGCGAAGCGTCCCGAACAGATCCTTACCGAATTCGGTAGAAGGCAATTCGGTGGCAACCGAAAAGCCAGAATTCGGTGCACGCAACCTAGCTCGGTGCTATAACTATAATAAAATATAGGAAAGCACCTAGCCTAGGAAATCAAGCAATGCATGCATATAATTATCCTATGCTAGAAATAGCATAATAAAGTAAAGGCAAGCAAGCATAGCTGGCATAAGCCGTCGTACTCTCACACGTCCCCCCCTCAAAGCTGGGTGGCGTGAGATACACCCTGCTTGACAAGATAGTCCTTGAGAACACGGCGTGCGTTGCCCATATCAGCTTCTGCAACCCAACTGTCCTCACTGGGGTCGTATCCTGTCAGATTTATATGACATAGTTGCTGTAGGCTATAGTGGGGTAGCACATATGGGGTACAGGTTTCTAGGGTTGTATTTGTACCCCAATCTTTCCTTAGTTAATTCATTCCTGTTCATTACTTTCACATGGTATAGAGCGGGTTCCCTGTGGGAACTTCGCCTAGGGCCCACCGAAGCGCGCCCCGAGGCGCGCGATCTCCTTTTTTTTAGCGACCCCCCGAGTCGCCCTTTCCCTCGCGGCCCCGCTGCCCTTCTCGCGGCCCTGCCGCCCTTCAGACGCGGCCCCGCCGCCCTTCCTAGCGGCCCCGCCCACCCTTCGAGCGGCCCCGCCTCTCCTTCGCGGCCCCGCCGTCCAGTCGCGGCCCCACCGTCCAGTCGCGGCCCCGCCGCTACGTCGCGGCTCCGCCGCCCCGTCGCGGCCCCGCCACCCAGTCGTGGCCCCGCCGCCTCTTCCTCGCGGACCCGCCACTCCGTCGCGGCCCCGCCTCTCCGTCGCGGCCCCGCCGCCCCTTCACGGCCCCGCCGCCTCTTCTCTCGCGGCCCCGCCGCCCCGACTTCAGCGGCCCCGCCGCCCTGATCTCGCGGCACTCGCCGCCCCTTCTCTCGCGGCCCTCGCCGCCCCTGATCTCGCGGCCCTCGTCGCCCCTGATCTCGCGGCCCCGCCGCCCCAGCACTCGCGGCCTCGCCGCCCCTTCTCTAGCGGCCTCGCTGCCCCAGCGCTCACGGCCCTGCTGCCCCTGATCTTGCGGCCCCGCCGCCCCAGCGCTCTCGGCACCGCCGCCCCTGATCTCGTGACCCCGCCGCCCCAGCGCTCACGGCCCCGCCACCCCTACTACCGCGACACCGCCGCCCCTACTCACGGCCCCGTCGCCCCTGCTCTCACGGCCCCGCCACCCGGTACCGGAGCAGCCGAGCCGCCCCGCCCGAGCCGCCCTGCACCCGAGCCGCCCGGGAGCCGAGCCGCCCAGCAGCAGCCGAGCCGCCCAGCAGCAGCCGAGCCGCCCAGGAGCCGCCGAGCCGCCCAGTCGCAGCCGAGCCGCCCCACAGCGGCCGTACCGTCCTGCAGCCGTCGAGTCGCCCGACCTGCCCTGCCTGGTGAGCACAGCACTGCTACCGCTTGCCCTTTCCCCACTGCTTGCACTGCTAGTCTGTCATCATGGCTACCCCCAGTGTCCTAGCTTTTGACGCTGAGGGCAGAGCCATCGACTTTGAGGTCTGGGTCGACGACCTGCAGTTGTTTTTGCAGTGCGATAGGGCAGACGGTCTTTCTCTCTTTGACCTCACCTCTGGCGCCTCTCCTGCTCCTGC